AGACAACTCAAAGCTTTTTCACGACCCTGACAACTTCCAGTTAATGAAGTTTGACTGTATGTTTCTGCTTTAGCAATTTGACTGATTCTCTTTTCTGATTAATGGCAAAGAAATGCTGACAATATATGCATATGTAGTGTGTGTCTTTATTTGAGTTATCCAAATATATATGCTGCCATCCAATAGAATAGAAAAGGATTTGATAAACTTTTCTTTCTGTAAAATTTCTAAGAATTTGATAAACTTTACACATACCAGGAGTTATTGGTCAATACCTCAACATTACCAACACAGATATTTTATCTGTCATATCAATAGCAAACCCATACAGGGCTCTCGATCTGCCAGATTTTGGGCCAATATTCGGGCCCCATTCCCAATGCAAAATAGTATCAATTTTTTTTCCCAATTTAGACCCCAGGTTTTCCCAATTCTAAGGAAAACAGCGCTATTTTTCCCAATTCTAAGGCCCCATGCCCCAGTCCAAAAATGGGGTGTGAGAGCCCTGCCATAACAACATTCTATTATATTTTTGCCTGTGAAATATAGAAAAATATCTCATTGATGAAAATGTTAATTTCACTAGTGAAAAATAACACTTTTGTAGACATACAACAGCAAAAAGAAAGAACACAAATCATCATATAAAACTGACATAAAGCTTGGTACAAACAAATCACAAAACTAGAAACCTGAAGGCATTGTTTACTAGTAATATGATCAACTTTCAATTCCATGGAAAACTTTCATTTCCATGGAAGTCAGCAAACAATGCAACTCCTACCTTATCGGAGGTAAAACCTCTTCGCCAACTGAACATTTTGAAAAGTAGATCCAGACCTTTTAAGAGAATTTGTGTCATCAACAGTATCAGCTAGGTTACTGCCATATTTCAGACGCATAGTAACTTGTTACAGGTTAACTATCTCTGAACGTTTTACAGCAAATTTGTGTCATCAACAGTATCAGCTAGGTTACTGCCATATTTCAGGCGCATAGTAACTTGTTACAGGTTAGCTATCTCTGAACGTTTTACAGCAAATTTGTGTCATCAACAGTATCAGCTAGGTTACTGCCATATTTCAGGCGCATAGTAACTTGTTACAGGTTAGCTATCTCTGAACGTTTTACAGCAAATTTGTGTCATCAACAGTATCAGCTAGGTTACTGCCATATTTCAGGCGCATAGTAACTTGTTACAGGTTAGCTATCTCTGAACGTTTTACAGCAAATTTGTGTCATCAACAGTATCAGCTAGGTTACTGCCATATTTCAGACGCATAGTAACTTGTTACAGGTTAGCTATCTCTGAACGTTTTACAGCAAATTTGTCTATTATTGACATTTATAGGTTACATTGTTTATGTGAATATAAAAATAAATTTACATTTTTATGTTTACATATCTTTAACAATAAAAAAAATGGACCAAATTTTGTTATTATGAGTGAGTAGTGTTCACAAAAAAGCTTAGTCAGCTTCTTGCTTTTATATCTGCCCTAAATATGCCAGTAATTTGGCTATTTTGTATGTGAAAATGTAATAAATAGAATATTTAAGTGTTTCCTGTAATAACAAATATATTTCACAAGTATGTCTAATGTTTTTTTGTATCTTTCACCTGTGTTTGGTTTAATGTCTACATTTCCTCTGTTTTAGATTTCTCTGACGAAAGCTTTCCCGAATCAAAAGTCAAGCATAAAAAGTCCAAGAAACGAAAGCATGTTGATGGTATGTCTGTAATATCATACTATATTATCCAATTTCATGAAGAATGGCATCACAGAATCAGCTTGCCTAACTTAGTGGTGCTGTCTGTAGACCCCTTTTGGTCCTATCAAACATACTTTTATTATCTCCTTTTTTTAGCAATTAAGCACAATTATAAATTTGCATCTCAACAATAATTAATATATATCCAGAAAAAAAACCTTTAGCACAGTCATATTTCATTATTCCATATTGTCTAAATAAAATCAATATTTCCATAATCTGTTTTCCAGATTATCTATATATAGACTCAGTGGTGTTGATATATAATCTTTATTTCATATTAGCGACATATAGACTCCAATATTCCATATATGTAATCTATTTTTCATGTAGTCTATATATAGATTCCATATTGTCTGTATATATAATCTATATTCAGTTTTGTTCATATATAGGCTTAATATTGTCCATTAATATAATCTATATTCCATATTTTCTATATTTAGACTAAGCCTTATATAGAAATTCACACTAGATATGTGAACCTACCTGACATACACAAGGAGGCTGGCAATAAATGACTACAACTGTTGAACAATATGAATCCAAACCAATTATGTTCCATATTGCCTGTATGAAGACTCCATGTTGTCATCAATTCATCAAGTCCGTCTAGTTTTACCATCGGTGTACATATGGTTTAATGATATTAAAGGATATCTATTTAAGTTAAATCTGATAAGGATGTACATCAAACACAAAAACATACAGTTGGATTTAGTTTTGGACTATCACAAGGAGGCAAGCCTGAAAATACAGTTACCTAACCACACACAACCTCTCAAAATACACAAACACTCACCACACACAACCTCTCAAAACACACAAACATCCACCACACACAACCTCTCAAAAAAAAATAACACCCATCACATACATGCAGCTCATGCAGTACTGTAGCTGATGCCTGCAAAGATGTGTCATTAATGAGACTATGAATTCCATATCAAGACAGTTCATTTCTTAAAATGTTTCCAGTGTCGTAAAAGCCCTGAAGGCGTAAATGTTACCTGTGACATAAAGTAAGGGGAGTAGGTGTATTACAGGACAAATAACAGTTAGTACTCCGGAGATTTATAGGTATGGTTTACCCCAAATTACACCATGTCAAAAAAGTGTCAGGTTATTAAGCATGTCTCTTGTTTATCAGTATGTTTTTCTCCAAGTCAATTAAAATCTTTTTATCAGTTACAGCTATACAAATTACAAGAATTAAAACACCACAAACTTTTCAGGTTATAAATCATATCTCTTGTTTACAGGTGTGTTTTCCTGGGAGTCTGTTGAAATCTTTTTATCAGCCACATCTTTACAACTTACCACAAGTTACCATGCCACAAAAGTTTCAGGTTATAAATCATATCTCTTGTTTACAGGTGTGTTTTCCTGGGAGTCTGTTGAAATCTTTTTATCAGCCACATCTTTACAACTTACCACAAGTTACCATGCCACAAAAGTTTCAGGTTATAAATCATATCTCTTGTTTACAGGTGTGTTTTCCTGGGAGTCTGTTGAAATCTTTTTATCAGCCACATCTTTACAACTTACCACAAGTTACCATGCCACAAAAGTTTCAGGTTATAAATCATATCTCTTGTTTACAGGTGTGTTTTCCTGGGAGTCTGTTGAAATCTTTTTATCAGCCACATCTATACAACTTACCACAAGTTACCATGCCACAAAAGTTTCAGGTTATAAATCATATCTCTTGTTTACAGGTGTGTTTTCCTGGGAGTCTGTTGAAATCTTTTTATCAGCCACATCTTTACAACTTACCACAAGTTACCATGCCACAAAAGTTTCAGGTTATAAATCATATCTCTTGTTTACAGGTGTGTTTTCCTGGGAGTCTGTTGAAATCTTTTTATCAGCCACATCTTTACAACTTACCACAAGTTACCATGCCACAAAAGTTTCAGGTTATAAATCATATCTCTTGTTTACAGGTGTGTTTTCCTGGGAGTCTGTTGAAATCTTTTTATCAGCCACTATCTTTACAACAAAAGTTACCACAGAGTGTTTTCCTGCACCATTTTTATCAGCCACAAAAGTTATAAATCATATCTCTTGTTTACAGTTGTGTTTTCCTGGAAGTCTGTTGAAATCTTTTTATCAGCCACATCTATACAACTTACCACAAGTTACCATGCCACAAAAGTTTCAGGTTATAAATCATATCTCTTGTTTACAGGTGTGTTTTCCTGGGAGTCTGTTGAAACCTTTTTATCAGCCACATCTATACAACTTACCACAAGTTACCATGCCACAAATGTTTCAGGTTATAAAGCATGTTTCTTGTAATAAACTTTCAACCTTGAAGTAATGGTTATTAAAGATAATTGGTTGTAATAATGTTTAATAATTATTAATCTGGAGTACTAATTTGAACTTTGCAACATTTCAGATGAAACCGACGACATTCCTGTACATCACAAGAAGAAAAAGAAGAAGCATAAACATTGATGATAAAGAAGGGAAAGAAATTTGAAATTGTTAAAAATAATAACAGACATCAAAGGAAAATGAATGTCTGTGAAGGTTGAGGATTGGCGGATTATAATAAAACATTGATATATGTGGATTGTTTTCTTCTTTACAACTACCAGAGTCTTGAAACATCACTGCAGTCAGTAACCAAGAGGCCCTGGGTTTTGTTATAGGGCAAATAGTGTGCTTGGATGAAGGGCAATATACATATAAAAAATAATATACGTGTTTCATATTTCCTGCACTTTCAATTTAATATTTTTTTACAATTATGAACATGTTACTGATTACATCATATAGGCTGCATATACACTGTGATGAATGACATTTCTGTTATACAATGTACGTGCCACTCTTAGTTATCTACCTTATCATCATTCCTTCAGAATTAGTTGTTTACAAATTGATCAAATATTAAAATACAAATTGTTGTGTTCATTGAAGCTATCGTGTATCATTATTCATCTCATCCTATTTTATAAACAGATATATCAAATATTTTTTTGTGATTTATAAAGCGTTTGTAGAATTTTCCTGTTAAAAATCTGTTTCAGAACAACCTTCTTTCACTACGATATGTACCATACACAAACAAGCAACATTACTCAACTCGCTAGCTTTGTTCGGTCACTAGTCTCATAACCCAAAACACATTTTACTACAGGTTTACATAGTGACACTGCAGCGCAAGTATTAACATTCACAATAAATCGAGATGAAATGTGATATTTGAACTTGTAACTATGCATGTTGTTTGGATACGGTGTTTAGGACGTTTCGTTCAATCTCTTTCATAACTCTGAGAACGAGCTCTTCTTGCCATTTTTGACCTACGACCTGTACCCCGACTGGTAGCCCCTCCGATCCTTCCGATACCTGTTAATGATTATCAAAACATATTTAGACAAAAGTGTTAACAAAACCTTCAATATCACCAAAAGGTTGATAACTGAGGTCAAAATATGAACAAAGCCCAGTTTAAAAGGAGATTATTGGGCGAAAAATCATTAGACAAAAAAAAAAATCGATTTTTGTGATTTATATAGCAGAGACGTATATATGTGTTATATATGTCTCTGTACATAGTTACATTTTCGACGGCACACAATGATTAATACTTTAAGATTAAATTGCATGAAAACAATTTAAAACCGTATATCTGGAAATGGCTTCATCGAAAATAGCAAACAGTTGTAGTTATATCTGTATGTAAAACCAGGAATCCGTTTAAACTAAATTTATTTTTAGCAAACCTTTTTCATTGTTTTCTCGAACATCGTGTTCTGAGGATAGGTCTTCAGGTCATCAATGTCTGCAGTTGATACAGATGTTACAGGGAGGCACCCAGCGGGGTAATTCACTAGGTTGTATGTAGGAGCAAATAAACCACCACCTGTAAAACATTATAATTCATCGTTGATATCACAAACATGTCGATATCCAAGTGAAAGAAATGGCAATTGTTTCACTATACTAATTGTGTGAAGGATCCTTACCAAACGATTTGTCCAGGTTGCCGTAAGGAGGAGCGACGAAGCCAAACGCTGGACAGATAACGATATCTAGTCTAAGCCTTGTCCAAGCGTCGTAAAATTCTTCTCGATATTTCTGAAACCAGTGAAGAAAGGACTTGGTCATCAAGATCCCCCGTCCATGTTCATTTGTAAAATATATTCATTTAAAGTGAGCAACATGGAAAACTGGAAAAGATATCGACCAATCAGGTCACAGCAGCCTAATTAAATATGCACAGAATTTGCCGATAATCAAACTTGAACAAGGCGTTAAGGCAGAGACATGGTTAAGGTAACAAGCCTACCAAACAAGTGTCATTATAATTCATTTGTTCCTTTAAAATATAACGTGCAGAAAGCATCCAGGGTCAAATGATATCAGCCAATCAGGTCACTGTAGCTTCATTACATATGCGTGGATTTCGCTGTTAATCGAACTTGGGCAAGGGATCAAGGCAACAAGTGTACCAGCCAAGTTACATCAGAATATGACCCGTCCTTCATAAGATGTGTGGAAAGCAGCACGGGAAAGCGATTAAAGAAATCAGCCAATCAGGTCACAGCAGCCTCATTAAATATGCGTGGAACTCACCGGGAATCGAACTTGGGCGAGGGATTAAGGTAACAAGTGTACCAACCAAGTTTAAGCAAAATCCTACCATTTTTAAAAAGTTATCACGCGGAAAGCAGCATTCAAGAGTGATTAAAGAAATCAGCCAATCAAGTCACAGCAGCCTCGTGAAATATGTACGGGATTTGCCGATAATCGAACGTGGGCAAGGAATTAAGGTAACAAGTGTACTATCCAAGTTTCATCAAAACTCGACTACTCCTTCAAAAGATATCATGCGGAAAGCATCATTCGGACGGACGGAACCATTTGAATATCCCGCCACCTTCGTTCGAGGGTTTGGTGAAGGGGGGTGTACCAAAGAATTTGAGCGTCAAATTATGATTTTTTAAAAAAAAATTAGTTCCCAAGGTTTGCCGTTACTTGCCTACCACTTTTCAACGTAATTCGGTTAATGAGACGTGTATTTGACGTACGTATGAAATTATCAGACATATGAGAATTACGACATTTATCAAACCATTGGACTAGCACACCTCATATATATTTTGATTTTTTTTCCCGATCACTTTGGATTTTCCTCCGTCGCCTTCTAAGCTTCAAAATTATGCTATAGCATCACAGACGAATCCAAGAAGGACGAAACTGCTGTATGGTGCAGTTTCTAACTCGACTTATAAAAGAAAAAAATATATATGTGTAGTTATGGTGCTATTGAAATAAGAGGATTTAGTTTGGTTGTTAGGGGACACGACACTTACATCAACTTGAGAGTTCAGTTTCCACCACTCGTGAACTGATCTACAAAAATGTCATATTGTTATTATTAGAAGCATTATAGTTACAAATCTAACCGGTACGAACAATAATGCCCAAATTATAAGTGCATGCTTGGCATACATTACATCCGAGTGTTTTTTTTTTTTTTTTTTATCTCTCAAATATTATGTCATTTAGTTATATAACTTTTATTGAAAACTGACAAAGAATATTAACAATCTCTGTGGAGACGTGTGAGAGACGTGTGATCTCTAAACCGACGGAGAATTCCTCCTGTTGGTATCTGTCTAGTATCTTTCTCCTATTCAGTCCAATCTTTGATGGAAGACTTCACTATTCTTTAAAAAAAACAATAGTTTTTTCTTCCTTGCATTCCTATCACAGTGAAATATTTTCCCCTCAACGTTTGCCTATATTCAACGACTTTGAAATGTGAAAAAAATTAATAATTAAAATTGATTTGGATGTCCCGATAATGTAATATCGTAGTTTGCAGATTGAAAAAGCTCCTCATTATGGCTTACATAATCAATGGTAAATGAAATTATGGTTCCTAATATCTTCTGATAATCTGAAGACCACGGAAAATATTGCCCAAATTATAAGTGCATGCTTGGCATACATTACATCCGAGTGTGTTTTTTTTTCTCTCAAATATTATGTCATTTAGTTATATAACTTTTATTGAAAACTGACAAAGAATATTAACAATATACATCAATTGTGTATTTCCTATATTAATATCATATCTATATTGGTTACATAAGAATAACATTAGTTATGAAATAATTCCAACTTCATAGCTGCTGTAAAATACAACGTAAACGTTCTGAGAGGTTTCAAAATTGTTTTTATTATTCTTGTCTTCAGTCTTGACCTCATATACTATCTTAAACCCTTCATATATATAGTCAACATTCGCGAATTAATTTGAAGCTTTGACACACTAAGTAAGAAAATTCGATTTGTTCAACATGTCAACAAAAATTGGCATACTCAATATTTCTTATATTTTTACAACAAAATACGACATTGCGTGTAATTGTGAGAAAGGATATTTATCAAGCATTATTAGCTTTGTGGGAGAAAACATTTTTTCATTGAACAGACATTGTAAAAACCACATACCTGCAGCCAATCGTAGATCTAATTAATTGCTCATGCGTCTTGTCCTGCAATACAGAAATAACTGTGGTATCTACCAAGCCAGTTAAAGGTATTCTGTATTCATTTGTACCAGAACAACACCAAATATAATTATCTATGTTCAACATTTAGATGTATCATAACTACCATCACTACAATGGTGGTATCGATTTTTTCATTCATTTTCTTAACTAGAAAGTCCACACCATCCTTACTTAGTTTCTAAACCGGAAGTCATCGGGATTGCACCGGAAGTATTGATTTTTTTTACAACATCGCACCATATATTCTCAGTAGGAAACGCTTTCAATGAATACATACTTTATAGAGCCATCCGGCCAGACTCGCGAGGAAATGACGAACCCGAAGTGGTTGGCGACTGTTGAATATTACCATTTTCATACTGGGGTCTACAACGTCATCTTTCCTGTAGTGAAAAATCAATAATTATTTCCCTGTGACATGCAGTCTCAAATGTAATCCTTCGCAATCAACTGACAAATTATTGTATTTCAAATATTTACTCATACACGTTAGCGCAAATACTTTCTCCAAAGTAGATATCTCCGTAACCTGACATGATAATGTTTTCCAAGCAAATGCGTTTTAAGGAGAGTAACATAGATGAGGTTTGAAAGTGGTAAAAAAAGATGTCGCGCTTGTAGATTTTTTTATTCTCACTAAATAACATACCATGGTATCCAGCTTATCATCTACTAATTAGCCTGCAGTTTTGCTAATAAGTATTAATGCACTTGCTGAGGAGTGATGCTAGGTTTATTTTCATTAATTATCCTCAGATGAGATAGTTCATCAATAAAGAGTCTCCTTTAAAATTATTCACGAAGTGCCTTGTCCAATGTACGATCAATGTATCTATTTTTGTGATCAGTGATACTCCGACCCCGATATTAACTTACAGGTAATCCGCTAAGGTTTGGCCTCCGTCTCCGTTCATCACTTTCATATACAGGTGAGACATGGCGTACGGTATTCTAGGGGGTTCAAATTCTACAAGCTGACAATTAAGAAAATTAAAGTGAAAATACGTTTCTGTCCAAATTTCACAAATTCTTGAAATGGCGCAAATTATCAAATGTCAGTGTTTTACAAGAACAATATAACTAGGCAACTAGTTATTCCACGTTCGACCGAAAGCGGTTAATATTTTAAGAAATCACTTTATTTTACAATAAGATTTATAAATGTAATCAATGTGATCCTGCCTGATAGTAATCACATACCAAATCAAATTAAATACATGTATTGTAGGTGGTGCCTCAAACAAGCGTGTGAAGATCACTTCTGTTATTAAAAGATTAATACATCGGTATTATTTGAGCATTCTCTATAATGATATTTTGAGTGATTTTTGTAGTAGGATCCAGTATTCTAATGCTTTGATACACGACAAAAAAGAATGAAAATCTGTTACGAACCTGAATTTTATATTCGTGAGTATTTTGTTTATAATATTTAAAAAGAATGGAAATCAATGAGCTAACAAAACTTATTTAACAACTAAGATATCCGGAGTACCGTGTGTCCGTTCTTCTCCAATGCCTCTTTGGCGACGAAGACAGCCCGTCTACATGACGGGACAGGGTCCGCGTATCCGTGGCTGGTGTAGTAGCCGATACGGAGACGCCGGGTGTCGGAAAACTCCTAATAAATAGATTATCGTTCGTTTGATTATTTTGAATGAAGCTTTATCCTCTTTTCATTTGTTCATTCAAATTTAATGGCTATTGCTTAAATATCTAATGAAAAATTGTTACATGGTTCACCAGGATGCCAATTTATCAAAATCAGATATCTCATTTTACTTCGTCACGTCACACACACACACACACACACCAAGATACATATGTACCAATCTACCAAACAAAATCTCTCATTTTACTTCGTATCTCAATACATGGACACAATTTTCTCAGTCAAATCCTAGACGTCTATTTGAGAACATACCTTCTCTTGAAAAGGAATAGGCGGTATAGACGGGTCCAGCTGGAAATGCAGGGGAGACAGCATGGCTCTCATCAGTAACACCACACCATCCACATCACGCGCCATAGGACCTCCCGTCCCTATAACTGAAGGTGACAAGCACACTATGAAAACATGGTACAACACAAATTGTGTGTCGTCTAATTATGTGAAGGAAATCGGTTAATACCGATCATGTGTTATTAATATCATTATCCAGCCAAAGAAAATTAAAATACATTAATCATTTTATCGTGAAACATGGTTTAAATCGACGTGTAATGAATGACTGCCATTGTGTAATATTAGCAAAAAATATAAAACTGTGAAAAATCCTTTTATTGGTTCTTTAATGCACGTGCATTTATGATATCCAAGAGTTCCATGCAGAATGATCTTCACTGAGTAATGGCAGTCTAGCTGGGTTTTGATGCTTTTAAACTCGGAACCAATCCGAAGCAATCTCCATAGGCTTTCGTTTTTGTCATGACAATGTGCGATGAAAGTTAATAAATCTACAACCGAAACCTTGGATTTTGATAACACAATACATCATAATGGTTGATAGCTGGTGCAACTTACCGATATTTTGTGGTTTTGTCAAACTACGCATTCCTTTCGTACTGAAAAATCAAACAACATTATTATTGAATACTTTAAAAGACTTTAAAGGTAAATTTATCATTTCACTGTAATTCTTTAAATTTGATAAAATGATTTCTCGTAATGTGTCGTGATTTTATGTGATCAATCAAAACCAGAATATTTGTGTGCCTCATTGATATTTTGAATATGAAAAATCGTCAAAACTCATGAAATAGAAATTCAGTCTGATAAACTAACGTTGGTCCAGATTGGTGAACATATTTACGTGGTCCAGATTGGTGAACATATTTACGTGGCCCAGATTGGTGAACATATTTACGTGGTCCAGATTGGTGAACATATTTACGTGGTCCAGATTGGTGAACATATTTACGTGGTCCAGATTGGTGAACATATTTACGTGGTCCTGATTGGTAAACATTAGAACCAGAACTGTACATAGTACACTATCGGTAATGGCTTTAGTCAATGTTATAAAAGAAAATAATACTGTCTAAAAGTCCATTTCAACTGTTAAAGGTAATTCTTCCTTACAAATCTTTTCAAATGAATGGAGTAAATGGAAAAAACTAATAGATATTGCTTAAAACTCGGCAGTTTTCAGGCTGATGACTTCTTCATCTATCCCATTTTTTTATATACCTAAATTCAATACTGTTCCTTCCAGATCACGCGTGTTCTAATTTCTCCTTTGTCGTTCTTCTCAATGCCTTCCTCTTGTCTTCTGCTCTTACACTTGTCACTACTAACTCATACTTCTCTTCCATTTTCTTTTTCTTTTTATTCTTTCTTGTATGATTTGCAACACAGTTGCTTTGTTGTAGAAGTATTTGATTATTTCCATGGGTTGCGGAAGCCCTCCTCTTAGATAAATATCTCAGAATATATGATAATAACTTATTCTTTTCTCTCTTACTCTAATCTATTCTTTCACTTTCTTCTTCCTCTAAAAAAAGCAACAATACAATGTATTGTAACACTTCTATACCTCCTCACAACAACATTTCTCTATGATAATATTATAAATGTAAGTATGCCGATATAGCTAATATGATTAACCACTTTAGAAGTGGTTTGCTGGTTTTGGTATTTATACACCTGTAATATATAGTTGTATACCTACACTGTATTTGATTAACAGGTGTGGTTGTAGGTACATGTACGTAAGCTTGTATGTACATATTTATTATATTTGCTGTTAGGTGTACGGTGCACGTATGCTTTACGTGTACATATTATGTGTATATATGCAAGTATTCTCTTGGTGTACATCTGTATGTGTGTGGTCAAGTATACATGCAATCATGGAGGTGAAAATGTATGTTTGTGTGGAGGAGTGTTTCTCACATGTATACCTAACTCTGTATCAGTTCATTTTATTGAATAAAAAAAATTAATTATAAAAAAAAATTGGTAAACATGTTAACGTTGGTCCAGATTGGTGAACATATTTACGTTGGTCCAGATTGGTAAACATATTAACGTTGGCCCAGATTGGTAAACATTAACATTGGTCCAGATTGGTAAACATGTTAACGTTGGTCTAGATTGGTAAACATGTTAACGTTGGTCCAGATTGGTAAACATGTTAACGTTGGTCTAGATTGGTAAACATTTTAACGTTGGTCCATATAAGTAAACATTTTAACGTTGGTCCAGAATGGTAAACATGTTAACGTTGGTCTAGATTGGTAAACATTTTAACGTTGGTCCAGATTGGTAAACATGTTAACTTTGGTCCAGATTGGTAAACATATTAACGTTGGTCCAGATTGGTAAACATATTAACGTTGGTCCAGATTGGTAAATATATTAACGTTGGTCCAGATTGGTAAACATGTTAACGTTGGTCCAGATTGGTAAACATTTTAACGTTGGTCTAGATTGGTAAACATATTAACATTGGTCCATATAAGTAAACATTTTAACGTTGGTTCAGATTGGTAAACATGTTAACGTTGGTCCAGATTGGTAAACATATTAACGTTGGTCCAGATTAGTAAACATTTTAACGTTGGTCCAGATTGGTAAACATATTAACGTTGGTCCATATAAGTAAACATTTTAACGTTGGTCCAGATTGGTAAACATATTAACGTTGGTCCAGATTGGTAAACATTTTAACGTTGGTCCATATAAGTAAACATTTTAACGTTGGTCTAGATTGGTAAACATTTTAACGTTGGTCTAGATTGGTAAACATTTTAACGTTGGTCTAGATTGGTAAACATGTTAACGTTGGTCCAGATTGGTAAACATGTTAACGTTGGTCTAGATTGGTAAACATTTTAACGTTGGTCCATATAAGTAAACATTTTAACGTTGGTCCAGAATGGTAAACATGTTAACGTTGGTCTAGATTGGTAAACATTTTAACGTTGGTCCAGATTGGTAAACATGTTAACGTTGGTCCATATAAGTAAACATTTTAACGTTGGTCCAGAATGGTTAACATGTTAACGTTGGTCTAGATTGGTAAACATTTTAACGTTGGTCCAGATTGGTAAACATGTTAACGTTGGTCCAGATTGGTAAACATGTTAACTTTGGTCCAGATTAGTAAACATATTAATGTTGGTCCAGATTGGTAAACATATTAACGTTGGTCCAGATTGGTAAATATATTAACGTTGGTCCAGATTGGTAAACATGTTAACGTTGGTCCAGATTGGTAAACATTTTAACGTTGGTCTAGATTGGTAAACATATTAACGTTGGTCCATATAAGTAAACATTTTGACGTTGGTTCAGATTAGTAAACATATTAACGTTGGTCCAGATTGGTAAACATATTAACGTTGGTCCAGATTGGTAAACATTTTAACGTTGGTCCAGATTGGTAAACATGTTAACGTTGGTCCAAATTGGCAAATATATTTAGTTAGTCGAGATTGGTTAACACATTAACGTTGGTCCAGATTGGTAAACATGTTAACGTTGGTCCATATAAGAAACATTTTAACGTTGGTAGATTTGTAAACATATTAACGTTGGTTAACACATTTTAACGTTGGTCCAGATTGGTAAACATGTTAACGTTGGTCTAGATTGGTCTAGATTGGTGAACATATTTACGATAGTCGAGATTGGTTAACACATTAACGTTGGTCCAAATTTAGTTTGTTCTTCACACAATCTTATCAGTAGAGGAATACACGGAGCACATTGTTTCCGAAGTAATCACTCCGATCCCGGAGTAGATTCCAACTTAAAGGACGTTTCTAACTTTAAAGAAGTAATCACAATACCCCTCAGCTTTCCAATAGGACAATTTTCAGAATATCGAACAACCTGATAATTATTATTTCCTAGTCGTAACACTTCCTAACTGGAAAAAAACACTTCAATAAATCCACATTTTGATAATTTCGGCCTGAAAAATAATATCGCTTTGTTGTAAGTGTTCATTTTGTAAGTGTGATATCAAAATAATCTTGCCTAGTTAAGAACATATTATCTACCTTAATCTTCCCTGCGTGGGCTTCAGTCCGGTAACGCCGCAGAAATGACTAGGTATCCGAATACTTCCAGCAATATCGGATCCAATTCCTAATATGGAAGCTCCAGCTGCCAGACTCGCCGCCTCCCCACCAGACGAACCACCCGGGGTACGGTTGGTGTCGCGAGGATTGAGAGACTTACCGTAGATTGGGTTAGAACAGTCCACACTGTGAAGAAACTAGAACAATTACCAGACAAGCACAAATGGTATCAAAGATAACGGTCTTAACGGCATTAGAGGATTTTGACAAAACACACAAGATAAAAGTACTTTTAGACACAAATTTAAAAATTAGATACAGTATATTTGAATAATGAATTAAACTGTATCATACAACAGTTCCGTTCTTCTAGGACTCGTCAGTGATGCTGAGGGCATTTCATATTGGAACCAAGATGGCGACTGAGGAAAATACTGGTTGAAATAAATGGCAAAATCCGGATGGGAGATGCACTACCCTTTCAATTCAGTATTCTGAAATTTCAAACCGTGGATGATTTCAGAAAAAAAAACAAAGTGCTTGTATATACCATGTATACCTAACAAGGGATTAAGGAGTTACTACAAACTCATACTGACCTCAACATCGTCTGTGGTACATTAGTCCTTACAAATGGAACAGCTCCCTGATCTTTCAGCACCTGCAGAGTAACAGACACAGATTGTACAAAACACACACAAATGAATAACAACTTTTAATAGTTTAGAGTTAGATACAGTAGAGCCAAACAATGAATTAAATTGCATCATACACCTGCTTCGTCCTTCTAGGACTTTTGAAGCCTACGAGTCATTTTGATGTGGAACAGTCATGTTGACACGGAACAGTCATGTTGACGGATAACTGTCATGTTGACAGGGAACAGTGACGTTGACATGTGAACAGTCATGTTGACGGATAACTGCCATGTTGACAGGGAACAGTGATGTTGACACAGAACTGTCGCTGTTTCTATGACACAATAATCATTATGGTCACACGCTGGTTGGTATTCATGTTTCTTTCTGGTTAGTTCATATTTTGATCAGTTCACGCCAATGTAAATATGTCAAAATCACCTACATAAATTCCGATTTCCTTTGCGTTAAAATTTACATATCAACTGATTGAAATTTAGGATCGCAACTTTTATTTTGACTTCTCAAATTGTTAATCGTGTCTGATTGTTTTAAAATTTGTTTTGTCTCTGTTAATTGCAAAATACTTATTTCAAAATTTCCTTCGTCTTTTTCTAGGGCCCGAATCCGTAACCTTCCCACTCTGGTTGTTTAACACTCCGACTGTGTTGTGTCAAGAGGGGCGGATGAGAGGAAGAATATAAAAGAATGTTTGCTATTAACCAACATCCACTTAACAATCTGATTATGACGTTATAGATGACAGATGAAACTAATGATGACATTAAAAACAATAAAAAAAGGAACACAATATCAAGCAAACCTGTGTGTCATCATAATCACGTTGTGTAACATATATGGTGATAGTCTAGCATTTGCTATTAAGTATTAGCCTACCTTGACCAGTACAGCGTCATCAGACGCTGCCTCCCCTATCAACGACGCAACTCCAACGGTCGAATCCTCACCCTGGAGACAAAAATAAAAATGCTAATATTGATTCGAGCCAAATACGATTGCAAATGTATTCCATCATTGATTTAATGCTTCGCATTAATCATTTAAGTTTTTATCTCGGTTTCATTGGTCGAAATAGAAAGGAAAATGTCGCTCTTACCATGTTATAATATTCGTAAATGGTCCATTTAAAATGACTTAGAATATATAATGATTGTACCTACCTTGATAAAATAGTTTTCCTTCACACTTAACGGAATTCCATGTAAAAGTTTTTTGTTGCTTTGTTGTAGGTCACGTGATTCAGCTAAATCCTAGAAAGGAAAGATGATTGTGTAGTCGTTACCGAAGGGGCTGTTGAACTCAGGGAATTAGTGTACAAAATCATATAAACACAGTCAACTGGTGTTATCACAAAATTCATTAAAACACGAGAAAAAATAGTTACTTCCATGAGCTAATATGGCTGAATTTATATAAAACACTGAACAAACCATAGCTCCATGGATAGGTTCCGTCATGAAATTCAATCTGTCGTTTTCTTGCATCGCCTGAAATATTTCAAATAGGGTTAGGTAGCACCAGTCATGAACATTGTTATAAGAGTTTCGTCACAAACAAAGCTAAAGAAATTAACAGACATCGAAATATGTGTGAATCCTATTAACCGCATGTATACAAAAACTGTAAAGGTGGAACGCCATCAGCGACAACTACACTGACGCGCGAAGTCAGTACTAGTAGATTGCATATCAAATGTAAAAACTTTTGTGCAGTGTTTGAACACGTTATTGTCTTGAAGAGAGAAAAATGCACTCCAGGAAATTGTCTCGTGATTATTTTTTATCCCGTGATAGGCAATATGCTACAACAACATGATCTGAACTCAAATTTCAATGTGATGATAACATACATCAGAGACGGGGGAAACAGAACAATATATTTACGATATCATGAGGCGACAACAAACACCAGGATCAGTAGATATCCACATATATTAAGAACTCCTCATTTATTGTTCTTATATGATCAGAATACAACGTAAATATCCCTTTTTATTTGATAATTCTCTAAGACCTTGGCTATACGTACCTTCCTCTGGTATGCGAGGAGGACATCAACAGCTTTAAGTTTTCCTGACTGTAGGGCATTGTGAAGTTCCATTACCGTCATACTTAGAATGTCTGTAGATAGTTTAGTGTCAACCTGTTAACACCATGTAGCAGAAAATATCAGTTGTTCATCCAATCACAAAATCAGGAAGACTCACTTTAGAAGAAAATATTATGTATACGATTTTCAGTGCTTATCTCAAGATTTTGTAGATTATCGTGTTAAATTCTATGATAAACCCATTCATAAATTCTTCGCCATAAAAGTCCGTTATTGTCTGTTCTAATGATTCATAGTAAATATTATTACACTAAAGACAGTAGAGATATCTAATAAAATAATACATATTTTATTTCTAGTAAATATTTCGTCCTTTTTCGGAATGGTTCTGATTAACTGATATTTGTCTTCACGCTGTTTGTTTTAATGGTAGAGCAGGCATGTGAGATGCCAGCTGAACTATATATTCTATTAGTCCAAGTCTCCCTATAAATCAGTTCTTTATCACGGCCGAGTATTCTCATACTAAGGTCTAGTATTCTCTTACTAAGGTCTAGTATCATCTCACAAAGGCCTAGTATTCTCTTACTAAGGCAGTTTTCTCTTACTAAGGCAGTATCCTCTCACAAAGGCCGAGTATTCTCTTACTAAGGTCTGGTATTCTCTTACTAAGACAGTATTCTCTTACTAAGGTCTAGTATTCTCTTACTAAGGTCTAGTATTCTCTTACTAAGGTCTAGTATTCTCTTACTTAGGTCTAGTAATCTCTTACTAAGGTCTAGTATTCTCTTACTTAGGTCTAGTAATCTCTTACTAAGGTCTAGTGTTCTCTTACTTAGGCCTAGTATTCTCTTACTTAGGCCTAGTAATCTCTTAGTCCTGGACATTTCCCTGGCTCGATTGCTTATTTTAGATATATTCAATTATTATTCGATATAACTCATTATGACTCAAATCGACTCTCTCTTATTCATCATCATTTATATATTGAATAAAATACTATATTTGTACGTGAAAAATACCGGTATATCTGCTGTCTCTTCGCGATTACCTGTTGTTCTTTAAGTTGAGTACGAAGATGCTCGATCGCTTTCTTTGCTCTCTCCTTCCTTCTCCGGATCACCTGTCGTACTACATAACGTCGGTAAGCTCTCTCAGCGTACAGCATAATAACACTACCGGACGAAAATAGAACCACGTACTTCACCCAGGGAGGCACCGCCGTGACATCAAATGACCGAGACATGGTGACACGTTGTGGGTCAATTGTGGCTGATGTCTAGACGTCTACTGTAGGTAAAAAATAAAAAGGTAACAGATGATTACTAAATTTTAAAAACAACAATAGTACAGAGGATAAGGTGGTCCAGAAGGGTTAGCATTTTTTGCTTCATCAACGAAACCGCCATGTAAACCTTGGTTAATTCAAGTAAGTAATGTCACGTTCTCCGCGGAGAATACTGTATACAACAAAGAAACCTATAAGCACTAAAAGATGCCAGCTTTATATCGCACAAGGACATAGGATCTAAGTTTGAGGAGCAAATGTATTACGTGCATACTAATTGTAATACAGAAGTCTGTAACTATTGAACAACTCAAGATAAATAAGTAGCCTAAGTTTTCACCATAAAGTGAATAATTTGATCATACACAATTTACTCCAACAGGCTAGGCTAAATTGTTCTCCGTCCATGTTGTCTGAGCCCGTGGCCATGATAACAAGCTAAAATAGATTCGGCAGACGTGTAATTCACAGTACTGTTGGTAATATAGATCTGTGGTGTCATTATCACCACCACCACCACTACCAACAACAACAAACAATAACAACAACAACAACAACATCATCATCATCATCATCATCATCAAGGATTCCACTCAATAACATAACAAACAGCCAACGAAACGTTGACATGTTATTATCTATTAAGGAACACATGCACGTGTATAAGAGAAAAATTAATCTATTTATATTTATCGTACTGTATTTACGGAAAGATTTAAGATAACATACAACTTTGTCGCTAATGAAGTAGAAGACCCTTACTCTTTTGGAACACCTGGTCTTGCGCTTCTAATACTGTTTCAGGAGTCTCCGTGTTCATATTTTTCTCTAGTTCGTTGAATTTGAGTGTGGATTTTTTTTAGAAAACACCGACACAATGTTAAACCTCTTCTTCGGGTTCATGGGATAGAATATTTTATAACACAACCAAAGAACTTTCTGTATGACATTTAACTTTCGGAGAGATCATTTATTAGAAACGTTTTGGCACAGCGTGGGCAGCCAAGTGTCTCCAGTTGTGGCAATAAACCCCTTCAGTGCCATTCTAGCATGTAAAAACGATATGTTAACGACATACTAGGGAAAACCACGAACAAGAAAGGGTCACAGAAGAAACTGAATACGCATATCAATACAGTTATAGAGAAGATACCAGCAGCAACTTTATATGCGAAAACGAAATCAAACCATGCACTTCCTTGACATCCGCCTTGTTAAGACGGAACAGTCAGTGTATTTGTCTATTGGAAAACTACACATACAGGCTAATACCCCAACGTCCAATCACACCGCTCCTCAAATCAAAAGTGTTGTGTGCGATTGTCTCGGATCTGAAGGACAAAACAGAAAAGCAGGCTCACATCCGTGGCGCCTTGAAAACGGGGAAATCTTGATTGGACAATTATAAAAAAAATTATGAACATTAAGAGAACAATCAAAGACAAGCAATGATAACCTGTATAACAAGATTATTTGGAACTATTCAGAGGATTTGTCGTAGCTATGACATTACACCAGTCATGAAACCTCAGAGGACGGTCTGTAATATCCTGTTCTGTCCTGAGGATAAAACACCATTGTGGAATGCATTTACATGAAAGGATGCGATAACCGCGATTCATCTTATTCGGAAAAACTGGTCCGCTTCAGTGAACACGGAACCCAAGAAGGCTCGGAATTTGGGATATATAAATCGCCACTGATAGATCATAACCCATAGAAAACGCATATCACTAACTGGGAAGATGATTATAAAGTAGAGGATAAATGATACGTGCGTTTGGGATACACGATAGCGGGTCCAAACAGGGACGAGGGGGCCAATAGACTTCCGCACATCTACCAAATTTTTAACAAAACGTAACCGAATGGACTTTGTAGGATAAAGTATCCACCTTATGTACGTATCGATGAATTCCAACTCGACCTAATTATACTACAATCTTATCGTCATCTCGTCACATGACTTTCAATTTGACGGTGTACACATGATTATAATACAGCTGATATATCCTGTTTCGTAGACAGTATACGTTAGTGCTAATACGCTTCACCTTGGTCATTCATCTAATGAAGATTACAGTGTGGTCCTCGAAGCATCTCACATATAATGTCTTTCTGGTTTTGACATAAAAACTTCTGTTCAATAAAAATATCGAAATGTAAACAAAGGCAAAAGTTGACCATATGTTCCGGAAGTGTAAGCGTATTCTGCTATTTACAGTGGCAGTATTGAGCCGCCATAATCAGTATTCTGACGCCTGTTACAGCATGTCCTTCCCTGTAGCCTATCGTAAGACTATAAATACCTGGCCAGCTGTTATTTTAGTGTATCTGGAAAAAAACACGTCTATGACATTTTAATGGTCCTTATCTTGATTTTAATTGACTTGAAAATTATTGGTATCAAGATAAATTAGCAATAATATATTAGTTATACATTGTTATTGGTTTGTCATAGTTTTACTGACAGATGCCGTGGTTTAAAGTTGTAGACTTGTATACATACAGATTTAAAACAGTAATGACACAATAGCATAATAATAGATATTTTTAGAATTTCAAACGCTTTCATAAAAATATGAGTAGACTATTGCTAACTTTGTGATGATAAGTGTTTCATTAGAACAATTTTCATTTAAGTCGATCTTCGTTTATTCGAACTCGAAAACTCGAACACTCCGCTTTACTCGAAATACTTTGGCGGTCCCAGCAAAATTTCTCTTTATCTCAGTAATAAAGACTCGGAAAACATGAATTTGGAAATATCGAAAACCTCTGATAATTCCAAGCAAAAATATAGACCTAGAAATTAAAACCCTACTTAAAAATACTTTAAACCGGAACAGCTGGCGAAGTGTTATGACAACCCGTGTCTCAGCACATTGCTATCAGAAAATGCCCATTGCCCAGGCACTGCTTAAATTTGTGAAGAGAAAATCTGTCTGGCTATTGTTACAGTAAAAACACGTTAATTATTCTTGTAATTTTGATTAACAATAAAACGATACTTACAGAAAAGCTTTTATTGACGCACGAGGCTCACGACTAAACGACACGGAAATAAGGAAGCACAGGGATTTGGCACGAATTCCCGGTCACGGTCCATAAATACAGTGTATTTTTAATGACCGTGGACCTCGGATTTGTCAACCGGCTCATAGACTTGAATTCTGCTGATATTTCGTTTAAATAACGTCAGTCATGAGTGCTAAAACAAAAATCAATGTTTAAAAAATAATATCCTGGCCTCGAGTGCCTGTGTTATAGTCACTATGTTACAAATATCTATGGACTATGAAACGAGAAATTCGTGCCAAATCCCAGTGGCTACGCAGAACTTACCTGCACACCTAATATCACAGCCTTGGTCGGGTGCTCTGGCTAGTGTGTGTGTGTGTGTGTGTGTGTTTTTTTTTTTTTTTTTTTTCAAAAGCGTACATGGCTTTGAAATCAACAGAAAAACCGAAGTACAGGCCGAGAAGGTGATATCGAGGAGGTGTCCAGTGTCATATTATTAAATGCCACAATTTACCGATAGTGTTAACTGTTTTTGTATGACCCGTAGTTCTCAGTAAATATCTTTAACGACATGAACACTCCACAGCAGTGATTTTGTATCGGGTGTGCATATGCAAACTTTTACTTCCGGCTTAAAAACGCACGTAAGTGTTTTGATGTTATCTGTTCATTCGTGTAAGGTTATATCATTTTTTACCGTCATAAAGCTTCCTTTAAATTTTTAATCATTTGCTGAAATTATGTATAATTATTCCCCTCTTCTGGTTACTGGAAATTGCCATGCGTGTCAGTAAATATATCACCCTAATAGTCCACTTTTCGTATGTTACCGAATGTTATACATTGGAACTCGTTTAATTCGAATATCCGGATAACTCGACCCCGACGACTTCCAGTTAACGAAGTTTGAGACATATATATATAGAGAGAGAGACAGAGACAGGGGATTTTAAATGAATATTAATTTCATATATATTTTATGAAAATGGCCTTGGTGGGCAAAAATAAAAAAAAAAAAATTGAGACGACATGACAACCAATTTCTTACTCCTGCAGCCATTGTAAAATTCTCGCGGTACTGTTACTAGTGGCATATTCACAGGCAGATTCTACTCCTGTCCCCATTGTTGGTAAGAAAAACTGAAAGCTAGACTTTCAGTTGAGTAAGTTTGTGAGCACTGCTAACTGTACGTGTTTACGTGAGGCTGAATAATGCGTTTGACAAATATGATATATTAGATAACAGTATGATTGTTCATGTAAATGTCTGTGGCTCAGCCATCACGAGTTTATCTATTTACTTACGTATTTATTTTATCTTTTCATTTTCACATTAAACAGTTAGTCTTCATTTCTAAAAGGTCTGCCTTCATTTGCAATTGCTAAAGTGTCTGCTGTCAATAACCCTTGGACAGGTACATTTGTGCAAACCAGTACAACATTATTAACCTGAGGCTAAGCTTTCTAGCCGTAGTTTCGTACTTCGGTGTTCATACGATAATGTACACATAGTTGTTTATCTTCATGTCACCTTTAATAGCGACGTTATCACGCCCTGTATACAATTGTAGAAAATTCCCTGTTGTGGTAGACTGGTTACTTTATTTTTCCCAGACATTTTTCAACAATTTTAGAGGCCTGACAAAATTCAGACAAACACACACATGTATGCAAATATGATATCAGGTCTGATACCTTCTTCAAAAGCTTAACAATACGATTGACCTGTTCTGTTCTTCGCGTTTAAGTGCCACTTTTATACTCTTAAACAATCCTGCAAGAGATAGAATAACGTATGCTTCTAAATCTTAACTGTGACAAATAAATTATCATTCAACTAAATGCAGTCTTACCTCGTATGTCCTGATAACACCCTACTTTATAAGAAGGTCGGGTAACATAGCCCACACGGCCAGGTAGGCGGTCGTAACACTGAT